AAAAAAAAAAAAAAAAAAAAAAAATTAATTGTAATTTAAATATATTATGTTATTATACTCTTTAGATTCCCATTATATCTCAGAACTAAAGAATAATACAGACGTTGAAAGGTATTTAAAATAACAAATATATTTTTTTTTTTTCAAATGTTGTAATTAATTACTTATTTGAATTTATTAATTTATTTTAGTTTATCGTCACAAAATTTAAATTCTGCAATTCAAAAATTTCCAACCGCTTTAGATTCTAGATATAACTCAACAGAATTAGAATTTGATATAAATACTGAAAGGTATTTAAAATAACGATAAAAAAATGTTTTTAATGACACAACTAATTATTTGAATTTATTAATTTTCAATTAGTTTATCATTATATGATTTAAATTCTACGATTCAAAATTATTCAACCGCTTTAGATTCTAGATATGTCTCAGCAGAATTAGATCTTGATATAAATACTGAAAGGTATTTAATATAATTATAAAAAAAATGTTTTTAAATGAAACAACTAATTATTTAAATTTATTGATTTTTTAATTAGTTTATCATCTCAAAATATAAGTTCTACACTTCAAAATTATTCAACCGCTTTAGATTTTAGATATATCTCAACAGAATTAGATCTTGATATAAAAACTGAAAGGTATTAAAAATAATGATAAAAAAATGGTTTAAATGACACAAGAAATTATTTAAATTTACCATATAATTTTTTATTTAGTTTCAGATCACAAAATTCAAGTTCTACAATTCAAAATTTTACAACATCTTTAAAAAAGAGAAGAAATGAAGAATTATTAAATGTTGAAACTCATAATGATAGTGGTAATTATTTATCTGGCTCAATGTTATTTTATTTTATTTTCATTTTAATCATTTACATTAATATTTAATTTTTTTTTTTATTTAAATTAATTATAAAAATATTATTTATAGGAAAGCGTATTAAAGCGGGATAAAACTACTAAGAGAACTATAGAAGTAATAATATTTCGTTATTCCGCAAATGCAGAGTATTTAGAAATATTTAATGATTTTTTATTAAACTTGATTATTATAATGTAAGTGAAAAATAAAAATTATTAGAATTACATCAAAAATATTTTCTTTTACAATTAAATATGATAATTTATCAATGAAATCATATAGTGATATTAATCAATTATATAATATAAAAAATTACATATATTATTATTTATTAAATATCTTCAAACAGAAAGTATATACTAATAATTCTAAGTTCAATAATTATATTAATTATTTAAAAAATTATTGATTCGATTTTTTTTTTTTTGGCTGGATATTTTTATTTAAAATCGTATTCATTCTAACTAAAAAATTATACAAAATATATTTATATAAATAAAAAAATGAATATTTATTTTGATTATATCTCAAATGTAAAAGAGCAAAATAAAACAAAAAATTAGGAAAAAGAAAATATTTGTAAATAAATAACTAAGAAAATGAATTATTGAAAAAAAATCAGTTTAAAGAAAAAATCGCATCACTAAGAGAAGGATAGGCATTAGTAGTATGCGAATATGGAACATAAGGGGCATCTGAATTTGGTCTCAATGTTAAAAAAAGAAATACTCTGGAAAATATTAAGTATCGTACGGATTTTTAATTTTATCCACATATGCGTAAATTGCTGCGTCAAGCCATATAAGATTCACATGATTTTTTTGGAAAAGCAATCCCGTGTTTGATATCGGATTTAAATATATTATATAACACAACAATTGTTAAAAAAAAAATTCTCTCTGGACTTCGTAGGACAATTAATTTATTTATAGTTCAATCTTATATGACTTTAAAAATTGTACACAAATTTGAAGTTTATAATTATTTTTATGAATTATTTTAAATAGAGGCTCGTAATTCAGTTTATTAATTACTAAAAATTAGTTTATTAAATGAATACATGTTAAGAAAATAGAGAAACTATTAAAATAATCTAAATTAATCATGCGCAAAGATTACTATTATGATAATTATAGACTAACATTATTTTTAATTCTAAATAATACATCCTATACTAAAGATTGTACAAAAAAAATATACAAGGATGTGAAAGTAGTATTGAAAAACCAAAAATATTACCATCTAATAATGTAACGATATTTTTAAGATGTTTCTTCAATAACTTTTTAAATAATGATAAGAATGTTTTAAGAAATAAGAGCCTAGAATCGTATCTAATTTTGTGAATAGACTAATATAATAAAATTCCCATCTATTTATTTATTAAACAGTTAATGTGGCCCGTCGCAGCTCTAAAATTCCTGATTATGATTTACAAAGAGATAAAATGAATCAGTTGTTAACAAAAAAAAATTTGTAAGCTTTTTTTAAAAAAACATAGATCGTTTATGTGAACAATAATAAATCCGATTTTTGTCCAGAGCGAAGCGAAGGAAACTTGTGTATTTGTGTAAAAATTGACTGTCGATCGTCACGTGGATCATAATCTGATTGGATCAATCGCTACGTTAACTATAGCTTGTATAGCTAACGGACGGCCTGATGATAGTTAATTGATTGCGTTTGTAAAATTATAACGTCAACGCCAACTTTCATAAGCTCAACCAATCAGAATTTGAGGATAATATGATGTAAATATAGCCATTCTGTGCGAAAATTAAAAATCTCAAGTCCTTTTTTTTTTATTTGCTGGCAATATAAGGAAAATGGCTTATATTCGCTCTATTACAACTCAGGTCTTTCACTATGCATCGGGTCTGCATGGTTTCTTACTGGGTTTCTTTTTGGTTCTATGCTTGTATTGGCCTTTGGAAGGCCATCACTTTTTTACGGATTCTTTTATTTTCTTTTTATTCTTTTTCATTTAGCTATAGATTTTTATGAATCAGAAACTGAGCAACTAATAATTATTCGTATCAAGAAGTTATACAATAGCTATTCGGACTTCTGCTCTATAAGGAACTTGAAAGATAAAATGGAAAGGTGTGATAACATGATACCTCCCCTTTTCATTTGGATTTTCAAGAATATTCTGAATCAGTTGCACGTTTTCTCAGAAGGTTTAATCCGATTGCACTTAATATGATGGTTGATAAAATATCGTATTAATTTTATTATATATTTTTAATATTAATTAATCTACTAAATCCATCATATTTGCTTTTATAGGCAGCTGATTTCTTACTTCCTAACCGGATATTCCCCAAAGGCTGGATAAAGGTATGATTAAAAAAACACTGATTTATGTATATACTAAATTTATTCCTCGCATTTTTTCTTCTAGATTAACAAACATTTTTAGAAAGCATAGGTTAACTCCTGAAGATATGGTTAAATGTATCCTTTTAATAATTAGAGCAGAATTGCCCAGTTTCTAATTTTTTTTATTTTATTTTGCCTATTATTCGTTTGAAACCTGGCTTACGATTGGGACAGCATCCAGGAAATATAATGTTAATGAATGTATTATTTATTATTGTATTTCGAAAGATTAGGAGTTGGACACTTGATTTTTGGAAGTTGACAGAGTATGGCGAGAGTAGAGGTCATATTCAATAATTTAGTTTTGAAATGAAAAATTTTAACTAATAAAATACAGGTAATTTCGCAATGTATGAATTATATACTCATCCATTAGCTAAATGGAAATTACTTGATTTGTTTTATTTATTAAAAATATTATTGAGAATCATTAATCTTCGTTTTAAATGACGCTATATGATTAATATATTAATTAATTTTGGCCGGCATTACAGATCACATGATATAATTTCAAATGAAAAAATTAGAACATTTTTATATGGATCATTTCATTTCTTCTTAATTGATATCAAATCTATAAAGAGACGTTCTCGAAGACGCAAGTTTCTCGTGGATGATGCAAATTTATACGATGATAAAGAAGAAAATATATATGATGATGATGATGATGATGATGATGATGATGATGATGATGACGATGTTGATGATGACGATGTTGATTACGATGACGAAGACGAGTGTGAGGAAGAAGAAGAGGAGGAGGTCGCTTATCATCACCGAAATGACATAATGACATGTATTATGTCATTAATTTCATTTGTGTTATCCACATCACTTCACATCACTGCATTCCGGTGGTCGTAAAATTGATTGACTATAAAGTGACTATTACAATCTATAATTTACTATTATTTTTTATCGCCCTTTCGCCCTTTAAGAATATCTTTTTTCACAGTAACTTCATGATCATAATCCATTGAGCACAAAATTTATTGAAAACTTATTTCTTAATATATACTATAGAATAATCGATAACTAGGAGTACAAGACTCAAAAATTTTGTAAAAAAATAATTACCAATAAATAAAAATTAATATACTTGATTTAAAAAACAAATTTCTCTATCAAGTTTTTTTATTATGATGTGTTTACTTATTATTTCAATTATTTCATGTACACTTTATCTTTACCCGTTTAAATTTAATCGACATTAATATAGATTTTTAATTAGACAATTTCAACAATATAGAGATAATTTACAATCTGCTTTCTAAACAATTGTCACTTGTCAGTTGCATTATTCCCATTTTAAAAATAAAATAATGAAATATCGAAGTTGATTATTTCCTAGTTAAATAAGGATTGGTATTTAAGCAACGGAACTATTATTAAATAGGATACTTTTTATAAAGGATAATGTAAAACAAATTAATCCGCTCAGAAATGCTCTTTACATAATATATAACGTAACCTTTCGTAGCAATAATTTTTTTTTTCTTTTTTTTTCTTTGAGACAATTCAACAAATTATTATAAT